ATCATAACGAGTCGTCCGGTTTTGAATGTTTTATGTAATAAAATGATGAACGAGAGTCCAATATTATTATCCAATTAATAAATAAGACGCGTTGCTTTTATTAAAGGAAAAAAAAAAAATTGTTTCCACGCTTGCAGTTTTGTGAGAGACACGTTTATTCTGAGGGACGAATTGCGCCGACAGTACGCGTTAATTAATTCCGTTAATAATAGTCCCTTTCTAAATTGAAATGCCGCGTAATGTAAACGCGGACAAAGAAAATTCAATTAACCAGAATTCGCGCTAATTGATGACCTAAATAGGTGTAGATCTTGGGGCGTATCTTCCCGATAGATGCAATTAATCGCTCGATATTAAAAAGGCGATTGCGTGAAACTAAATTTTTGAAAAATTACAGAACAATGCTCTCATTCGAAGCCACAAACTTATCTCTACAAAAATCAAAGTATAGTAATTCATACGGATTACTTCTTTAAAGTTTTACTGAATTTTCTCGTCAGAGGTTTACTTTCGGTCAGATGGAATCCTTCGATAAAAAGAAATAACGACGAGTTTTTGGAGACAAACGCTTCCAACTTTAACGTGACCCAATTATTGCGTCACGCGCGTAATCGTTATCATCGCTGAAACCTTTATATTAATTCCGTTGCCATCAATCTCGCGCCGCACTACGGCTATTCGCTCCGTCGTAATCGACGAATATTCCGTAATGCTTTTAGATTATCGCTCGAGTCGCTTGACTTTCCCTCGAGCTATAATTACCGCGCAAATTGACTCGGCGAATACCGAGCACGGCAGCTAATTTCAGCAGCAGGGAACGTGAGGGATCTTATTTTCGATGATGATTCTTCTGCGCGCGCGATCGCAAGTCAGCGCGTTCCGCGTAGATATCTCGATTTCTTAACGCGGAAAGAAGAAAGAGAGGTCAAGGGTTTTCCGAACGTCTCCCGCGCTCCACGCTTACCAGCATCCCCTTTTGAGAATCAACGGGCATCTTCTGCGTCTGGCACCCTCTTAACGATGCCTAACGTACCCCCGCCTTTTCCGTCGTAATAAACCGCGAGAATGCTCGCATCCAATTTACTCGAGTGGACGAGGCATCTGTACGGGGTGTCTCGAGCCACCGGATGTCCTTTTACCCACAGATCCTTCTGTCAATTGGCCAATCAATTTTTTTCGGAGAACAAACGTCGAAGTAGTTTCTAAGTAATTAGTGAGCAAAAATCAAGAGCTTTTTCTCGAGCTGAATTTCAAAAGACCAACGGATAAACTATACCGCACTTTTCAGTTAACGCCGGATGGATTTTATTCTAAAAGAAGTGTCTCTATTATTGTTTTTTTTTAGATATATTATGAATCGGGAAGTTGTAGGTTGATGATGAACTTTTCCGACATTTCTCGCTGAGAAGAAACCTGCTTCAAATTGACCGAAGAATCTGTTTAAAAGGCCACCCGATGGTTCTGCACCGGACACAGTGGTTAGGCGATTCGGTCTCCGTCGCCGATTTCCAGAAGTTTTCCGGCTGGGCGATTGAGGGCAACCGGAACGATTCGAACGATTGTATGAATATTTCCGAGTCTATCACGCGCTGCGGAATGAAATTCCTCATCGCATAAAGTTCCGCTGCCCTTCTACCGAACTTTTCTCGATTCTTTTTCCTCTCGATAGATTCTTTAAATATTACAGGTTTATGTGCCAATCGAAATATTTAGGGGCTTCAGGGAATCTTAAGGGAGAGATTGAACGGAGATTTGCATATATTTACTTGTGCTCCAGAATAAATTCAAGTAAAAAAAAATATATATTTTTTTTACAACGTATTTTTGTTAATAGCATTTGTTGTGCAAAATACTGTTTTTAGGTAAAAACCAAAAAATTACATAAGGCTATTATGATTCGAAAATGTTGGAAAGGATACTCGTAATATTGGCGTTCCTACCTGTTGCTAGCGAGAGAGATAGGAGTAGCATATATCTTTTGCATTGCATTCATTAATTTTCTATTACTTTTTTATATTATTTATATACTTATAACGTGAGTTTCATGCTGTTTTGCAAAATTTATGAAAATCTACATCCTAATTGGGCGCGATAATAAATTATTTCATCAGAGAAGTATGAGCAGAATAAAAAATTTAAGGAATTATTAAGCCTCACCGTTTTCGTGAAATATCACAAAACATTTAAGACATTGGACAGATTTTTCATTTTTCTGTAACATTCGAGAAAATAATACTTTCATCCCTTTGCTCGCGCGTGGATCTTCAATTTGCAAGTCAATTCGCATAATTTTCGTATAAAAATTTCCCGTCGAGAATAACGTGACCCCATGATATTTCGCCGAATACGTACACAGACGCGTATACACGTATACACAATTATGCTGGAAGAGGGTGGACGCGGAGAATCAGCGCGGCGCACGTCTTTTCGCGAAATTGCGAAGAAGTCCCCGACGAAGAAGGATGCGTTTGCGCAGGACTCGCCGATGGAATTTTGCGCCCTGGAAGCCCCCCGACATATATCCGCGGTAGCGAACTGCCCCGGATTGTTCAGTTCAGTTCAGTTCAGTCGTCATCCGATCCGACGACGTAAGCTCGGAGTCGGATTCGTGTGCATCCCGATTCTTGTCACCACGTCACTGTTATCAGCAACAGGTAGGAGAATGCAAAAGAGGCGTTCCGCACAGGGCAAACCGCGAATTTTGCAAAATTGCGAGATCAAGCGATAAAACGAAAGTGCGCGAAAGTGACGGCTGCGAAATCGATTTATTTTAAATTTATTGTGCAGAAGTATTAATCAAACTGTCTTCATCTTGAGATTGCTAAGCCGGATATTGCCATCATGACAGTATGTGTGAGAATGTGCAAAACGGGAATATCAAACTTCTTTTTTACGTAGGGCTGCTCAAGTAACAAAGTAAAGCTCGGAGAATTAGATTTTAAACACCTAATTTGTTATAGTTTATAGCAATGGCCATATCTTATTTAAAAAGTACAAAAAAAGACAAAGAATATAGATTTATAAAATAAAAAGCTATTAATATGGAATTAAATTTTCAAAAAATTGATTTGCAATAATTAATAAAAAATACTATAATCATAGTAAAATATTTTCGCGTGTCTAATTTGTAAAGCAAATTTAGATTTCTAAAAAATTTTAAATAATATAAAATTATCTGAATATGTAGATCTAAATAAAAAAATTTAAATAAATATTAATATGTAATCAATACTTCGCAATACAGCAGCGCGAATAATAATACTGTTATTTTTTGTTTGTAATAATAACACTGTTATTACAGTTTAATCAATTATCGAGAGACATCGGAATTGTATAACATAATATAAATATTATCTTTCACAATAAATTTTCTCGAATAAACTTTCATTTTATGCGTGTTTCTTTCTTCTTGCCTACAAAGATAAATAATAAAAATAATGGATACAATCTCATATAATTCATCAATGGTATAATTTCAAGTTATAAAAGGCTTATGTCGCTTATATATAAACCTCCTTTTACGATACACAAAAATTATAAATCAACAATCAAATAATAGAAAATATATATTAGATGTCTAACTACTCCTTGAGAAAAAATAAGATCAATGGAAAATTGAGGCGCAATGCTTGAAGAATCTCTGCGAGTTATTGAAATCAAATTATTAACGTAAAGAGTCAACCAATAATTCAGATGCAAATATTTTTGGAAAATATAATAAATAAATCTGTAAACGTGAGAAAACTGCACGAAAATCTTTAAGAAAAATATATCGACAAATAGACAAAATATTTATATTATTTCGCGAGAAATTCGGATTTCAATGTTTTCAAATTCAGTGCGAAGGGATCGAGCTTGAAACAAGTCGCCATGGATATTGAAGAGTTCCGCATCCGCGGCAAGGAAATGGTAGACTACATCTGCGAGTTCATGAGCGACATTCATACCAGGAGAGTCACGCCGGACATCGGTCCCGGTTATCTCAGGCCTCTCCTGCCGTCGGAGCCGCCGAATGATCCGGAGTCGTGGGATGAAATCATGAAAGACGTAGAATCAAAGATCATGCCGGGTGTGAGTATTCGCGAGGAGGAATACACGAAATTAAATAATGCGAAAGTAATTATCCTGTCTTTTCTTCAAATTAAATTTTGCTTGATTGACGATATCTTGCGAAGACGAGCGAAATTAAATACCGCGAAATGAAATATTTGAAAAATTTGTCGCGCGCGAAGAAGTGTAGTGACCGTAAAAGGACTGCTACGAGTCGGATGAACTCTTCTTTCAGATCACGCATTGGCAGCATCCAAGATTCCACGCCTACTTCCCAGCGGGAAATTCCTTTCCTTCGATCCTAGGTGATATGCTATCCGACGCGATAGGCTGCATTGGATTTTCTTGGGTGAGTGAGAAATTTTTTTTCAGATCATCTGAGAATCAATAAGCAAATATCGCGCGAAGTTGTAGTTAAACAAATCGCGACTCAACGCGGGCGATAAAGCGGCGCGAATTCGAAAGCGATTCGATTTTCTTTCGCATGACGGATTGCGCGCAATTATTTACTCGATCTTCTCCAAAATGGAATTTTATTTGTTTTAGGCGGCTAGTCCGGCCTGCACGGAATTGGAGACGATAGTCTGCGACTGGTTCGGTAATTCACCCCTGTGATATTTCGTCAGAATAATTGGACAACTTTGCAAATGATTGATTTACGCGGTAATGCATCATCTTTCTGAATTGCAGGCAAAGCTATGGGATTGCCGACGGACTTCCTGTACTTCAGCGAGGGCAGTAAAGGCGGAGGCGTTATACAGGCATGGGAGTTTAGTTTTTTTTACGTATTCAGAATAAATAATATAAAGTGTTCTACTCTAAAACTATGTCCTTTTGAGTTTAAAAAAAAATTAATATTGAACGTACTGCTCGCAACTTGTCGAAATTTATAACATGCAGAATCTTGGAAGTGCGCGAATGTCAAAGGTCGATTAACGAAACTATATATATAGGGCTCGGCATCGGAATGCATTCTCGTATGCATGCTGGCCGCGCGGGCACAAGCAATTGCAAGGCTCAAGGAATCTCCCGCACATGCACATTTGGACGAGACCGCGCTGCTCGGCAAGCTGATGGCATATTGCAGCCGGGAAAGTCATAGCTCCGTCGAGAAGGACGCTATGATATGCTTCGTCAAACTGCGTATTCTCGAGCCCGACGAGAAGAGCGTACTTCGCGGAGAGACGTTGCGGCAAGTGCGTTCGAATGATGTATCGCTACAATGACGTAATGTTATAAGAGTGCCCTCTAAAAATCTGTATTAATTAAAACAGAAAAATAATCTACGATTCGCGACAGAATTCGAGGTAGAATATTATTTATAATTTTAGGCGCCGCGCAATATAGAAGACATATGAGAAATTTTATATTATTGATGTGCTTTGTGTATCTCGATTTTTCAAATATTTTCTGTAACATAAAATTATAAAGAGATTCCTATCTCTAATTCTGTCACCAATTATATAACGGTTTAATTATAATGAATAAAATTTATATGGACTTCATGCATGCTTAATAAAAAATAATGTGCTAATGGAAATTAAGGAAATAAAAAATGTTATTACATTTAATATAATATTTTAAAATAAATGTTTAACACGTGCCGCGCGTATCACCGATGGCCCACTCTGAATTTTCCATTCAGGCCGTTTAATATTTCAAGTCTAAACAAATACATTATTATAAAACATTTCATAATTTATTCCTTTTTTTCTACACTGCATTTTGTAAAATGTCTTTTTATTTTGATAATGATACATTTTTCAATTTTCAATTTATTATAAAATATACATTTTGAGCTCAAATAATAAATGGGCCATCGGTGATACACGCGGCCTGATTGGAAAATCATGTAAAAGTGGTTCGGCACGAAATATGTTAATATCGTATTGATGTAAATATTTTTATCACTTTTCCGTCCAAGTTTCACCGAGTTTTGATTAATTTATAGGCAATCGAGAGTGATACAGCCGAAGGCTATGTTCCCTTTTTCGTCTCAACGACTCTCGGCACAACCGCCTGTTGTTCGTTCGACAATCTTAGAGAAATTGGTCCAGTTTGTAAAAAATATCCCGGGGTGAGATTTAACGCTATGTATGATTTTAAAAAATTTGCTTTTTTCATCAACCATATTTAATCTTTTCTTTTCTAATTAAAACCTTTGTTGCAGATCTGGCTGCACGTTGACGCCGCTTACGCCGGAAATGCTTTTATCTGTCCAGAATTAAAATACCTGATGGCCGGCATCGAATACGCCGATTCCTTCAATACTAACACCAACAAATTCCTACTGACAAATTTCGATTGCTCCTGCCTTTGGGTTCGCGACAGATTTAAGCTTACGAGCGCGCTTGTCGTAGACCCGTTGTATCTCCAACACACGCATGCGGATACGGCTATAGATTATCGGTGATATCAGTCAATTAATTTAACAAAAGTATCGAAACTGCGCTCTTAATTCACTGTGTGATTTTCTTCCAAAGTGTTATCCATAAAAAAATGCTAAAAAGTGCTAAACTAATAATAATATCTTAATAATTACACGCTAAACACTTAATTATTCTTTAACAGACACTGGAGCATAGCGCTGAGCAGACGATTCCGCTCATTAAAACTGTGGTTCGTAATGAGGAGTTACGGAATATCTGGGCTGCAGGTCTACATCCGAAATCACGTGAAACTCGCTAAAAGATTCGAAACACTTGTCAGAAAGGATTCTAGATTCGAAGTTTGCAATGATGTCGTGGTAAGAGAATTTCTCCGGTTATATTATATTATTCAATATAGCATATTTGCCTTCCGTCATATCGATTAATCAATTTCATTACAGCTAGGCTTGGTGTGCTTCCGCGCTAAAGGCAGCGATAAATTGAATCAGAAATTATTGAGCACTATTAACGACTCGGGAAAGATACATATGATCCCGGCTCGAGTCAATCAACGCTACACAATACGTTTCGCACTCGCTGCGCCTAATGCAACTGCCAGAGATGTTGGTAAATTATTTTTTACACTCGTCTTTAATTTTAAGATCTACGCTGTGCTTCAGAGAACATTTTATTCTTAAGCTTCTTTACGTAAAACATTTTTTTCACGATTACGAATTGGATCTATTTTTAAATATATTATCCGCAAAATGTTTAAGAAATTTCATGTAAAATGTATTGCTTTTACATATTCTATATATTCTAGAATTTTTTTATATCTTTTATTTAAAGAAATATATCTGCACCATCTTGAATTAATTCTGTAATTAATTCTTTAAGACGCAGCATGGAGCATTATAACGGACTATCTAGCCGAATTGTTGGAGTTCAACGTAAGTTGAAACATAATCATTTTTTTAATACGCATTATCGAAAATAGAATATTGCACATATTATCGCGCATTTGTATGTTAGGACGTAATGGACGAGTTGGCGGATATTCGCGAGAAGAAGAGAAAGGCCACCTTGGAGCAAAGGAGGTCTTTCTTCGTGCGCATGGTGTCTGATCCTGCGATTCAGCCAGGATTCACAAAAACCCCGAACAGGACAGGAGCCAAGCTCGATACGCAGGCAACGATCGGCGGTATCGGATCGAATACTCAATCCGGCGTGTAAGATAATCATATTTGATTTATTACAACAAATAATCTGCTGGAATTAAATTCTCCAGCCGCGCATATTCAGAATAAGTATATTAAATTTTCTTTACTTAGGAAATCTTGGATATCCTGGCCGCTCGCGTATCTCATGCAGGCGAAAGAAGCTGCTGATACAAGTGAATTGTCGCTCAGGTACTTTTCTTTCATCTAAATATTATAAATTATAGATTTCCAGATTAAATATTTTTAATTTAAATTTTAAAATAACTTGAAAATATAAAAAAAAAATACTTTTGCTTTTAAAGCGTGAGCTTCGTCAACGAAACGCAATTCGTATTCAGCGCGTCCGATTTATTAAAGAACGGTTCTTCGTGAAAAAAATGCAAGAAATCAAGACCGAACTATAAATGCTAATTTTTTTGCTTTGAACTAGTCCAACAGTTTGGACATACAAAATTTTTGAATCTTTTGTCTGACACTGAGCCTTAATATGGACGGCAATGCAATGCAATGTAAAACAATGTCGATATGACGACTGTCACTATTATTCACAGAGACAAATAGTGCACTCCTTTCCCTTTATCGTCACCGGTATATCGATCGCTATTATAATGACATTCGAATCCATTGAAATACGTGTCCATTTCAGAACGGTCAAAACCAGAGTACAAAGGTCGGGACGTGTTGATACGAACGTGCGTTCGATCGATTTTCCTTCTATCAACTGCGATGGAAGAATGCCCGTTTTAATTTTAATTTATACTTGTCTCCTTTAAGTACATAAATCTATTGTATTATAAGTAATAAGAAATTTTAGATAAAAATTCGATATGTAACAAAAGGTTGTGTGAACATTTACGAAAAAAATTGACATCTAAAAATGTGAATCAAAACATCTACACGTCAAAATTTTACCGCACAGTAAAATCATCCTGTTAATTATCGCTGTAAATATACTTTTATCACACTTTCTTGAATTTTTTACGCACAGGTTTCGCCATTTGGACACCATGGTGCGTCTGAAAGCCGGCGGTACCGGCAGCCGCCGCGGTAGCAGCAACGGCTGCAGTCCGGAGCCATCTCCGTCCGCTTCGCCGTCGCGCGGCAGGTCGCCCAATGGCCGGGCGTAATCGCGTTACATCGATTCTTTTTTTTCTTTTCTTGGCGCAATCTCTTTCCGAGGAGTCCTCTGATAATGACAATCGCGACGGATGACTCCTTGCGCTCCGAAATGCACCCCATTGCGTGCTCCAAGAAAGCAAATCAAGGAGAATTCGCTAGCTATCACTTCACGTTCGAGAATTGATACTGCCGATCTCGATATGCAAGCCCATCTTAGCTCAACTTATAATTTGGCAAATAATTCTTTATATTTATATAACTTCCCATAATTTTATGTGTCATATTGTAAATATAGTTATAAATAGGAAAAGACTTTTATGCCCAATTAATCTCAAATTATGATTATATACGAGCGTATCAATAATTAAAGCACACAAGAAAATTATTTCAATTAGAATATTATATATCTTTGGCTCCAAAATATTATTGCAAACTATATAAGTCTTAAATCGTGAATTATAATTGTTAAATCTGTATTATCTAGCACGTATTTTTCGTTCATAAATAAAAATTAAATTCTAATCTTATGAATATGATTTTCATTCTCGGCAAATGTACAATATTAATGTACAATATAATGTAGCAAATTTACATACATAGAATTTTGCTGCAAATTCTGCGTGGTTACAAATCGTCTAAAATGGGCTTGAACGGAGAATAATTGTGCAAAATTGCTCACCGATGGATACAATGAGATGCCGCCGAAATTGCCCCGTCGTATGTTTTATTCGATAAGAAATTAAATACGTTTCAGTCTCAATCATGTATCGCTTCTTTTAAATCCCCGAAACACATAAACTTCAAAAAAATACTTAAAAGACGTTTAAGATTTATAATATCTCTTCAAAATCTTTAAGATATTCTTTAGATATTTATATTTAAAAAAAAAACCTTCAATTTTTAAATGTTTTACGACAGGATTTCCTAATATATGAAAAAAAGTTAAAAACAATGTATTTAGTTTTAAATTAAATAAATTTGAACAAAAATGTAGCAAAGCATACAAAAAGTTACTTGAAGATATTAGTTAAAAATGCTTGAGAAAAATCGTCCAATGATATCATGAGTGCAAAAATAATATAAATAACGCCAACACAATTGATTGTCTTGTATTATATTCAAATAATAAAAGTTAAACCATAAGCGAACAAATTAGTTTATGTAAAGCTGCGAGGTATAGACAGGTACGAATGAAAAAGTTGCAAACATGCAATTCACCCTGCGATCAATTATTTACGCGTTTTCTATACACGTCTGATAATCCGTTGTATGTCAACACATGAAACAATTCATAAAAATTGGAAACTATATGTAATGATTATTGTTATTTTAGAATTGTTTCATCTTCGCTAAAGACAGTTTAACAAAATAAAGTTTATGTTCATAAGAAAATAGTTTAACAAGTTTCACGACAAGTTTCAAGATAATAAAATAAATTAAAACACACACTTTAATTAAAGAATTGAGAAAACTTCCCTAATTTTAAAAATTATCAATGTTTGATGTCTTTCTTATCGATGTCTTTGATGTGATAAAAAAAAAATCAATTTCAAAGAAATTGTGTAGGATTCGATAGTCAGATATTGTTATACTTTGTGTATATAATCGCCAGCTTTAGGGTTTGCTAATTTCGTCGCAATAGCCGTTATAATGCGAGCGACGCGCGCGAAAGAGATGACCACCGAACACCGCAAGCCCGGTTTTAATTACTTCTCACGCGTTCACGGGCATCGAAGCTCTACCGGGATCGTGGGAGGGATCCAATTCGAAAAACGCCGGACGCGAGTAGACCATGCGTGAAGGTGGCGACGAGAAAACGAGCTGTGATCGGCGGTGTGTATATGTGTATGTGTGTGTCTGTGTTACGAAGATTGAGCGGTGACCTGTCACCGCTTCCACGGGGTGTGTTGTAAATGTAGGTGAAGAGTAAATGTCTATTTATAAAACGGTGAGAAGAGAGGAGCCGAAGGGGGCAGTGGATTGGTGGGGAAGAATTTACCCCGTGCGCGGAGCACCGCGCACTGTACGGGGCGTTTATTCAAACGGCGACCCCGCTATAGCGATAGCCACAGCCATTGATGCTGGACTTGCCATACCGGCTTCCGAATTTTTCTATTGTATCTGCAATGATCGATTAAGGATACATCGCGTTAGGAGGAAGAAGCTATCTTACGTGGGATCAACTTAAGAAGAATCGACTCCACGATGAAAATGACATGATCACTGCAAAATTCGCTGTGCCAGTAATAAAAATATTTGTTTCGCTATTGATTTTAAATTGCGTGTAAAAGGGAAGCTGGCTTCGCTTTATAGCATTAAATATCAGCTTGTAAATCACTCACAACCGAAGTATAAATAAGAAATACAATATTATTAATTTAAAAAGTAAAAAAATGGTGTTGAAAATATACGTTTCAAAAAATTCATTTCAGGAGTATGTTTATAATAATATATCATGTGCAATAATGTAATATTATGTGTTGTACGAAAAAAATTAAATACCTTGCAAGACGTCCGGTAAATTAATTCCTGATTAACAATTAATATTTGTATTATAACATTAATCGATTTTAATATAATTTCCATTCAGAACATGAGACGAGCAATAATTCTAACTTGCAGGAAAACTGATTAATTTTCATCTATTAAATTCTGTTTCTGACCGAGAAAAAATACTTTTCTTTGAATTTTTTGTATGTAGAAATATAACACAGTATAAGTACAAATTAATTTTATCCTTTTTCTCCAATTTTGAACTTTAAATGATATTCACGCGTTGATACTTGTACTTGCAATTTCACATCGGAATTAAAGAATAATTTGAAGTTAAGTTGTTCGGATTGATGAAGAATCACTGCGATCTTTAAGAATGTCCTCACAAAACGATATCGCGATCGGAGAATCATTGTTTTCGATGATCAATTGTTTGTAATTAATCTTTATTCGTTAAGAAAATATATTTTATTGCGCTTTCTCTCCCCAGCCTCTTCTCTCTCCACCTTAATTTTATCTGCGTGATAGAAGAGGCGTACGGAGCCGAGGCGCGCATAAAACTGACCAGCGCTTCGGCAGGTGCTACTAGTCTCTCGTCTGACGTGGCTCGCGGCAAATGTTCGATACGTGCAAGGGAAAATCGCGCGGCACTCGAGTTACGAGAACGGATTCACGCGAGGGAAGATTCACGCGACCGAGAGGAGCCGATTTTCCGCCAAAGTGGAGCGATTTTTCGAACGGTAGCGGAAACAAAACGTGAGTGTACCGACAAAACTCTTCAACGTCGTCGTTCGCCACTCGCTGCTTCGACTTTCTTCAAAATTGCGCTTTTTTTTCAAATTCACACTTTAAATTACAAATCTGTATTTGTTTACGTAAGAAAAGTATAGGAAGTTGATTTTCTGGTAAAATGTAGCAATTTTTCGAATGGTAGCAGTAAGAAAATGTATCGGCAGACTACGTCAAAACGATTCGATAGCTTTGATCCGCTTCAACTTCTTAACAATTGCGTCTCAAAATTCATATCTGTTTACGCGTGAACAAAATTATATAAATTTTGTTTATTAGAAAAAGATATGAATGAGATGGCTGTGAAAATAATTTATAATAGAAAAAATGATATAATTGATCTAAAAGCTAATTATTATCGTCTTTAGATTTTGAGACCAGAAAATATGACAGATCTAAAGTTGCTGCAGAAAATTTAGGTTTTCATTACATACACATAATTAATACAAAGTTAATAGAATTTATACGGTTATTGCTCGCTTGAAGCCGCGTTTCCGTAATATTTATGACATGATACCTCGTGTGTAATTAATTCGACACGCAAGCATCCCACGAAGTTACTCTCGTCGTACTTTCGCGTACTATTATTAGCCGCGTACGCCGATCGTACATTTCCTTTTGCTCGAAAGAATTAATACGCCGCGAAGTGTCCTCGCAGAAGCGCGGAAAAATTGATCCTGTTTTTCAAAGACGAACATAGGAGGATAATGACGGTGATGGGCGCGTCGGCGCGCTGATCGAAACGTTTAGAAAGAAAAAAAGTCACGATCGCACACGCGGTGTACGTGTACGCAGTTAATTAAGCGTGCGCCCTAACGCGCCTTTCCGAACGAAAATCGTTGCATTCCAGTGAGAGGGGCACACTCCGGCATCATGAACATCGATGAGTTCCGCGTGCGCGGTAAGGAAATGATCGAGTACATCTGCGAGTACATACGCACGTTGGAGGGCAAGAGGGTGACGGCTGGCGTCGATCCCGGCTACCTGAGGCCCCTGCTGCCCAAAGAGGCGCCGGTCAAGCCGGAATCGTGGGACGCCATCATGAGGGACGTCGACGGCAAAATAATGCCCGGAGTGAGTTGCCATCGCCGGCGAAGTCCGCAGCCGGGCTCCGCTCCGCGATTATCGATCCCCCTTCTCTCCCTCACTTTGCCATTGATTTCAACCCCCCTTTCCGATATAAATAATGTTTCGCGCACGTGAAAGAGAGAGAAAAAAAGGGACGGATTAAAAACTTTTCATCGTTCTCCGTGCCGTTTCTTCTGTATCGGCGGTCCAAAAAACTAATTGCGTGATGTATATGCTCGAGATGATGCGTCGCGCGATACATTTTGCGACGCGGGTTCTTTCAGAGGTGCGCTCTTTCAGAAAAACTTGGAGAAAAGTTAAGGTCGGCCCGATATACATGACGTAAAACGTTTGTGTGATGCAACGCGTATTATGTAAACCTCATACGAGTGCAAAAGACAGTTCAAACTAATAATAAAAGTATAATAATAATGATAATAATAGCACAATAATAATAATAATAGCACAAAATAATTGGGATATTTTTTCGGGATCTAACGTTTAAAATTTTCGATCAGAATTCAGTTAAATTATGCTTAAAATTTAAAAAGAGATTTGATAAACGGATATTTGTCGGTGAAAATCAAATATCACTCAATGTTATCAGGTTTAACTTAAGATTTAGGGAAAGACAAGGAATCCGTACATCAAAATTGTCAAATATGGTGGGAAAAAGGAAATGTTTAAAAATAATTTTCGTAGCGGCGAGTGTATCACCAGCCGGGCAATCAGTCGGTTGCGAAATTGAAGGACACCGACAGCGTCACAACGTGCCGATCTTCGCTTCCGATGGATACAACGCCGCTCGAGAATGACGTCGTGACATACGACTTTTTCACAAATGTCCGCGCCAAGTTCCTCTCTGATGTAACGGCAACGTTATCGCAGTGACAATGAAAGTCGCCGCCGTCGACTCGACACTTCCGCCGTTCATTCCACGCCGTTCCGTCCCATTCTTTCTCCGCGCGGATAAATCAATTTCAGGACATAAAAGTAGGTTGCCTGGTGCACCCGCGCGCGTCTGTACGAGGAACAATTGTCTTTCTTCAGATCACTCACTGGCAGCATCCGCGATTCCCACGCCTACTTCCCGTCCGGGACTCGTTCCCGTCAAGTCCCTGGGCGACCTGCTGTCGGACGCGATCGGCTGCATCGGTTTCTCGTGGGCGGCCAGCCCGGCCTGCACCGAGCTGGAAACCATCGTCCTGGATTGGTACGCGAAGGCGATCGACCTGCCGGCTGAGTTCCTGTCGGAGCTGAAGAGCGGCGGCGGCGTGATTCAGGGCTCGGCGTCCGAGTGTATCCTGGTTACGATGCTAGCGGCGCGCACGCAGGCGATCAAGACGCTGAAGGAGCAGGAGCCGAACAAGGAAGACTCGGCGTTCTTGCCGCGATTGGTGGCCTACTGCTCCACCGAGTCGCATTCGTGCGTGGAGAAAGCGGCGATGATCAGTCTGGTGAAGCTGCGGGTGCTCGAGCCGGATGACAAGGCCTCTCTGCGCGGCAAGCGACTCGAAATCGCCATTCGGGAGGACGTGGCGAACGGCCTGGTGCCGTTCTACGTATCCACCACTTTAGGCACAACCGGCTCCTGCGCCTTCGACAACCTCGTGGAGATCGGGCCGGTGTGCAAGCTGCATCCCAACATCTGGCTGCACGTGGACGGCGCTTACGCCGGCAACGCCTTCATCTGCCCGGAGATGCGGCCGTTCATGGCCGGTATCGAGCATGCCGATTCCTTCAATACAAATCCCAACAAGTGGCTGCTGGTGAACTTCGACTGCTCCTGTCTGTGGGTGCGTAATCGCGTGAAGCTCACGTCGGCGCTGATCGTTGATCCGCTTTACCTTCAGCACGCCCGTTCGGGCGAGTCGATCGACTACCGTCACTGGGGCATCCCGCTCAGCCGGCGATTCCGCGCGCTCAAACTCTGGTTTGTCCTGAGATCGTACGGCATCAGTGGTTTGCAAAAGTATATCAGAAATCACATCAGGCTAGCGAAGCGGTTCGAGGCGCTCATGAAAAAGGATAGGCGCTTCGAGATCTTGAACGACGTGCGAGTCGGCCTCGTGTGCTTCCGGCTGAAGGAAAGCGAGGAGATGAATCAAGAGCTGCTGGCGAACATCAATGCGTCCGGTCGGCTGCACATGATACCGGCGCGCGTGATGGGCAAGTACATCTTGCGCTTCTGTGTGACGAAGGAGGATGCGACCGAGGAGGACATTGATTATGCCATAAACGTGATCGAGGAGCACGCGACGGAGGTGATGCTGGCACATTACGAGGGCACGGAGGACGAGTATCGGGCGAAGGGTCCGAAGAGCCCGGCCGCATTGGACAAAAAGCTCGTCCGCAAGTTCAGCTTCACTCGCAGCGTCACCAGAGACGCTTACAAGAGATCCATTTCCAAGTCCAGTCTGCACGACGGCGCGACGCCCATCATGGTCGTCGACGATAATTCACAGGTCGACACCATCGACGACGATCGTTACGGCAGGTAATTTCTTCTCCTGTGATTTCTTCATCTTTTTCGTTCTAAATATAATAAAGATCTTCGAATAAAATGCTCTTTCCTTGGGTTCCAAAATTTCCAAATTTTAAACAATCTGTAAGTTGCCGTGAGCTTGACGACGATTGGTGGGATATTGTTTCAGATCGTGACGATGTCGATGACGGTCCCCGGCGCCGACTCGGGACGACGTAGATGATAATAATAAAAAGGGCCCTCGCTACACGGCCGTGTGATGCGGAATTCCGACGGCCCGCCGTCGTCAATTTACTGATTCCCGAGGTCGGATTGTCGATAAAGACCGGCTATCACCGATGACATCGTTACGTAAGTGTTTAGCCAAGTCATTCGTTTCCGATCAAGTTTGTTGGAAGCCATTCGAGACGATCGCTCGACCGTGCACGGTGATTATCAGCCGTATATATTCTCTCGAGCGCGATTCTTCATGGCTACAAACTGTGTGTTAATGGCAATATCAAGCCAAATTTTGTAATGAAGTGTGAGATTCCTAAACGCATTTTAAACGGTCTGTAATTCGTGACAGAATCCAATTTAATTGATAAAATGACTAATTATGAAATTTACATAGTCCAGTTATGGTCTAAAAAAATTTTATCAATATTATACAAGATTTTTTTCTTTTTATTTGCATTAAAATTAGATTTTTATACAAAGAGACATTTTTATTAAAGCCGCAGATAGAATTCACGCGTACAAATTCTGTCCTGAATTATAAATGGTCTAAAATGGGTTTTAGAGGCGACTGCGCACATAATTAACGTAGTCGTGATTTATTTTGATATATAATATGTCTGTATAGGCGATAGAGAGATGAAAATCGATGTACATATGTAATACTGTACGTACTAATGACTGCCGATGTACGCACAGACTCTAATAGTTTTATATAAAATGCTGGTGGTTAATTAAAGTGTATCGATCTCAATAGATTTACGCGTGGATTAACAGCGAACGGCTATGCTGATCCCAGTATGTACTGCGTGTCAGAACTGCGTGTATTTTCTCTCGCTGACTACAGTCGGAACCACGATGGGAGAAGAGAATTTTGGATATGTGATACAAGTTTTTAATTTTCATCTCAATTAGAAGAGAAAAATATTAATCAGTGAAAATGTATTGCTTAATGTTGTGTCGTTATCGATTAAAAATTGAGCAGTCATGATAAATAATGTGATACTCAATAATAATCCATAAGAACAAATTCCCAAAATTGCGAAACAATTAATAACTGAACAAGTATACGATAGCTTTGAGATTATAGTGAAATAAAATTGCACTAAAATCTCAAACACGTCGACATAGTCAATGTGTTAATTCGTACAATTGAGATCGCATAATTGCATGATCGACGTCACAAATCGACCAATAAAAATAGATTTCAATTTAAAAAATAGTTGTAGATAATTCTTATTATAAGAAATATATAAGTGCGGAAATGATATATTTGGAGAAACTAACATAATTACAAATTTATACATTTTAGATTGATAAATTTACGGTCTCGTCGGGTCGATACTGATACGATTATATAGATATACGTATAGGTTTGTCACGTGAATAATTCCGATAATTTATTCCGATTTGTAAAAATTAATTTTAATTTTTAAAGCTAATATTGGAGAAATCCCGATAAATATTCATCAACATGATACGTAGAACGATTATAAAATATTTATTTCATATGTACAAATGTTGTAATAAAGTTAAAGTTGGTAAGAACACAGTTTCCTTTCATTCGCCTGCTTGATAATTAAAAAATATGTAAATTTTTTAAGCATTTACTCTTTAATAAAATTCCTTAAAGGCAAAAATATATTCATTGTCAGCTGCTAAAAATTCACACATGTTAAACATAATAAATTTACAATTTTCCAAATATGCTAGTAAGAAAATATTTCTTAACACAATTTTTGATTCTTCGATTGTGTATATTTCTTACTTATTTTAGTATTTAATTTGTCAATATCTATTTTATTTCTTACAGAAATAATAATCTAAGGGAAAATTTAATTAATGCAAAACAAAGTAAATGACATATATAAATTTTATATAAATGATAGACATACATTGAAGAGATATGTAAAATCGATAAAAAAGAAAATTAATACAGCACATAATTGGTCATTTATATAGATTGTCACACATATTCCACTTTGAGAGCTTTATAAGAATAGTCATTATAAGATTATTGTAAGACTAAAATAAAAGTTCAAAATCACATATGTTAAATAAAATACAAAAATATTGTATATATAATTATTGTAATTGTAGAAATAATTATATTTTTACATATAATTTAAGCTGTAAACATTCTGTATATGTTATAAAAAATATTTTTATTGTATTTTCTGCAAGAAAAATAGATGCAAATACATTATATCAGAATGAGTTCATATAAGTCTAAGTAAATAAAATTATAACTACATCTGTCCGCACTGAGATATAGTCACTGGAATCTTTGGCTTATTATTTGGTCCAGTAGGAACATTTTCCACTTTTCTCATGACAAGAAGACCATCGATTACTCTGCCAAACACAACGTGTTTACCATCCAGAAAGTTACATTTGGCACACGTGATGAAGAACTGACAGCCATTGGTATCCTTGCCACTATTTGCCATAGATAACAATCCGGGAGAGTCATGTTTCAAGGTAAAGTTTTCATCTGGAAAAGTTCCACCGCTGTATATGCTGAGCACCCCAGTGCCGTCGCCGTTGACGAAATCACCACCTTGTATCATAAAGTCCTTGATAACTCTATGAAAAATAGCACCCTTAAAGCCCAATGGAACTCCATCCTTCCTATATTCACCAGTGCAGAATTGCCGGAAATTTTCAGACGTTTTAGGACAAACATCTTCGAATAGCTCGAAAATCATTCTGCCTATTTCTGTGGTGCCCACCGACACATCGAAGAAGACGACCGGGTTGTTGGGATTTCGTAGCTGAGCTTGAATCTGATTCCAAGTAGGCATGCTTGCGTATAATGCTTCTTTTTGCAGTACTTCTTACAATTGTCACTTTTGGAGATTTCAAAATTAATTCACTCTGAATAAATGTGTCAGAGAAAGATAGTCTTTCCAAGTCGTAAAGTGTCAACAAACATAACCTCAATGTGCGGCGTGCGATTTCAAGTTAACTTTTTTTAGAAAGTTTAGTCTGCAGCGTACAATTCGCGCAAAAGATCGACGATTGATGTTTAAAAGCAACAACAGCAATAAGAAATATGTTTCGTATTATATTGCACAACAATGAAGATATATTTCAACTTGAACGCGTTTTTCGATGACACCGCGACTGAAGACCACGAGAGTAGCAGTATAAAGCCAATGTGAAAAATAGAGGTTAACTATGCTCAATTTTCTCAATAATTAAGAAAGTCATACATGTGTTCGAATGTCATTGATAAGTAATTAATAAGGCAAAGTTGAGTAAATGCGTTGCAATTTGTGCCAAAAATATATTATATTTTAAATGCGTCGTAGTGGCGCTTATTTCGATTTACTTACCTTACTTAACGGAGACTGTGACAAATCTCGATAATTAGATAGTGATGCGACGCAGATTTTCTTCCGAAAGTATTCTCGCAGAGACTCGGCAACGGCAAACGTTCTGAAAAAATCTCAAGTTAAAGCAATTGTTTACGAAAAACTACATACGTTTATACATTATTCTTATTACCAGTGAAATCACGTGGCTTTGCGTGATTCCTGTTCTTTGTAATATTTCCGTGACATTTTCTCATGAAAGTTTCGGAGAATGATCTATTTGTTAGTCATCTTTCCATAGTTTGTTTCACTCCTACTTTTCATTTCTTTCCGTAATAATTTAAAAATCTAGATTCAAATAGCTGCATAAATTGCATAGAATTATATAGAAAAATCGACCAATCACATGTTCAATATAAAAAACGCTTTATATTATGTAAAATTCACACTACCTTCAATGTCCGACGTAAAACGTTCGATATCCAATAGAAAAGTGTTTTCTTCTAGATTTTGTCTAGCGCTATATTTGTCCCTAGAAAATAAGAGGCGGTGTGATTTTGGCTTTAGATGCAAACTGACTGAATTTCTTTATTTTTCACCTGAAAAATATAACATTTTTTTAAAAGTTTGTTCTTACAATTTTGATGTATTTAAAAATTCTGAAAGAAAAATGTTTCTTTACAGATACAAAATATTTGTGGATGACTATATAAAATATAACTAGTGATTAAAAATTGATTATTTAATTAATAAAAACTATTATTTCGTATAAAATTTTACTTTTTAAGTATAAAGATGTATAGTTTTACAATTGATTATGTCATCAAATTATAGTAACTTTTATATTGTTTTATACTTGGTATCTTTTTATCTAAATTTATTAGTTTTAATATAATGAAAAGAGTATAAATAACAGTATAAATAATGTGTAATATAAATAAATAATTTACAAAATAAAATACACTTTATTTTCTTACATTTCATACTCTTTAATTCTAATGTTTATTTGTAATGAGAAAGATCCTATACTCAAATATAATAACTTTTTATTAGTAACGCAATTAGTATGAATTGATATGATACAAAACTGTAGCATACTAGAGATTGCAGATTCTATTTATTTTCTTGTCATATGTAACTTTTTCTTTCAAGAACATCATATTGAATGTATCTGCACAATCTATTCTTTAAAATTAATTTGATACACATGTTCTTTAACATATGAAAGCAATTTGCTGTGCTTATTAATTTCGAGGAAGAGATATTTTGTTTTAATCTATTATTAAAATTAAAATAGTCTTATCGTGGAAATAAAAATACACAAAAGGCAACATAACTATTCATTAAATAATAATTATTTTAATCATTCAATAGTTTTTTTTTATAAAATCAGTAGTTTAAAAAATTCAATATTTCATTAAATATGATTATGTAGAATATCTATCTCTCCTTAAAAAAAAATATAAGAATTTTTCACTGAGGTTGATATCTTTAAATTGAGAACAAGGATATAAATGTGATCAGAATTTATTTGTTGACTTAATGTAGATGCAATTTTGACATACCAAGGAAAAGAAATTGAGTGGTCTTTTGCAATTATCAAAGAGTAATATCTAAATATTCAATATATCATAATCTGTTTTACAAAAGTAAAAAAAAAAAAGTAAAAAAAAAAGTAAAAAAAGAAAAATACGAATTGTATACCATTTAATTCTATTTAATTCACCAGTCAATAAAAGTAAATAAAATTATATTTGAAAAACAGTTTATTAAATATGTATTTAAAAAATTATTTTTAGCTTTGAATATATCATAATCAGCCGATATTTCACGGTACGTATTTTAAAAAGGAACATAATTTCAAAACATACTTATGCTATAAAGTCTGAGATAAAAATTAGAAACATCTAAATGAAAAAAATGTAATACCTAACTGTAGCATCTTCTAATTTAATAAATATGCCTATTTCATTGTATAGTTAACACATGACCATATAAACTACCATGTTAAACTGTATATTGTACATCAAATTTACATAAATTTGCACTTCATGTGCATCACTTTTAAAATCAATGCATCAATGTTTTATCTTTTTTAGAAATTAATTTTGTTTAAGATAATTCTTATATAGAGAAAACATTGCAAATAAACCTTGTGCAATTGAAGTTACTAATAAAAAAGATTACTACACTCATAGTGTTTGTACAAACAACTTCCTATACAGTTTGTTTTAATATGTTATTTCATATTAATGTGTATTTGAGAGATATTACAAATGTGGACAACAAAATGATAATTAAATGTGAACCTTAATGTGTTTCTTTAACGTATTTTTATCCTCAAAATCTTCGTCGCATATTTCGCAAATAAAATCTTCTCTGTCGTCGCTGTCGTGCTGATGATACTGTACAACTTGTATAACATGAGACGTTCCTTCCTGTATTAAAGAGTCTTGTTCATCTATATGATTTTTATCCTCCTTTTGTTGTGCTGTTACATTTATAGGTATGTCCGTACTGTTTACTTGTACAATTTGACTGGAATAATTTTCATGGCTCTGTGGATTTGGTATCGTTAAAACAGGCAGCGATTCGTTTTGCTTGGATATTATATTCAGGGTGTTATTTTGCTTAGGAGATTGGATCAAGTGTATCATGGACATATCGTTCTGTCTGATCGTTTCATCGAGTGCACCATCTACAGATTCCGTCGACACTATATGCGCCGTATCGTTTTGCTTGTCCATAGCAATTATGTTGAGAGAATCCCTATGATCCTGATCTACTTGAAGTACGTGAATGTTTTCGTCTTCCTTGCCGTCCACGATAAACCGTATGTTGCTATGTTTCAGATCGGATATCGTCACAAAGCCGTCATTGCGTTTGTCCGTGGTGACCACGACGAAAGTGTTGCCTTGCTTCTCGGTCATAACAGTCTGGAGCTCTTCCGCTTTATCAGATGTATCCGTGATAGATAATAACGCTTCGTTTTGTTCCGCCCTGGAAATAAAATCCAGAGCATTCTGCTTCGTTGGTGTAGTCATACCACTCGACGACGATTTCGTTTTCTTCTTCGCCGGCTTCGATTTCGGGGAGGTCTCGTAAGTCTTTGCCTTGGCTTCAGCCATCATCTGATCCGAATGCTTGACGATGTGCGCACAGAGTTCGTCGCGATCCTGATTCAGAGCACCACATAATGGACAGGGATACGGCGGGCTACTAGCTTCTGTCTCGTTCTTTCCCGCTGCGTGAACCCATCGAACATGTTCGCGCAGAACTACCTTTTGATTGAAGGCCCTTGAACACAATGGGCATACGTGTGGTCTCTCTCCCGTGTGGATACGCTCGTGCTTTCTCAGAGTCCCGCCGTCGCGAAACGACTTCCAGCAGAATTTACAGCCGTACGGTCGTTCGCCAGTGTGTGTGCGATTGTGTATCAAATATCCCTGACGCGACGAAAACGTTTTCGAGCAAGTATCGCACTGAAAGTGCGCCGGACTGCCGGCGTGTGTTCTACCGTGTTCCCAAAGACCCTGTCGCGATACAAAGCTCTTTCCGCATTCTGCGCACGTAAACGGCGACCCCCCGGGATGCGCCGATAGCCTGTGATCGTCCAGCTCGTTCTGTTTCTCGAATTGTAAACCGCACACCTCGCACGAGTGAGTTTTCTTCCGGTGGATCCATTGATGGCGAAACATCTTCTGCTTGGTCGTGAATTTTTTCCCGCATTCAGAGCAGGCGTGCTTGCACCACTTATTGGCTACGCCTTTCTCCGTGTTGTTCTGCATTATCTTTTTTACGCAAGTGGTCTGATGGGTCGCCAAGTGATTTCCATCCTGGAACTGTTTGTCACAATACACGCATTCGACCGGCATATTCCAGTTTTTGAAAGCGTGAATTTTCTCGTGGGACGCTAATGCAGTCGCGCGTGCAAAGTTGATTCCACAATGCTTACATGTATACCGTTTGTTATCAGTTTGACTATTTGGTTTGACATCTTCATACTCTCTTCTGTTTGTGTTGTTGTACGTCTCGATTTTGACTATTCCATCGGTACTGAACGAATTTATTGGTAAATTGTACTGTTGACTATTGTTAATTGGATTATTGATATTATTTTGTTCAGTGTATTCGCTAAACTGCGTCACTTCTCCATTGGGCAACACTGTAAACTCCTGCAATGTGTCTATCTTTTCATGATTAGACATTGTAGTAACTGTTGACTGTTCATTTTGGAAATTGTATGTTGAAACTGGCCACTGAACTTGACATACGTCATAATTCTGTATAGATTGAACAGATGAAGAAGTTGGCATCTGCGAAGTATTCTGTGAATTGGTTGCATTCTCCGGCCACTTCTTGAACGTTTCTACAGGCTGAGACATATCGTTCTCCTGCGATTGCATAATAGCTCGTCCTGCAACATATGTGTGTATCTTCATGTGATTGGACAAACTGGAAGGCCTCTGAAATTCTGAACCGCAAATGGTACATTTGTGCGACCGTTCAGTTTGAACATGCATTTGTTGCATGTGTGCTTGTAAACTGCTCTTGGAACGAAATAAGTTACCACATGTTCTACAAGCGTGAGGACGATCTACTTGATGACAAACCATATGATTATTCAGGTCAATCTTCCTTTCAAATCTCTCACCACAAGTGGAGCAGGATAGCTTAGATGCTGCGCAAGCAGACCGATGTTCAACCATTTCATCTTGAGTAAAGAGGCGTTTACAGGTTGGACAATTGATTTTCTTATCTTCAAAAGATGGGTACATACCGCCCAGCTGCCGCAGAGCTTCCACAGCCATGGATTCATCATCGCCTGATGTATATTGTTGCTGTTCCTCTTGCTTGATATACATTGGATACGTTATCGGACTGTCTTCCTCTTCATCTGAGTGATCCGTAATAATTTTAGCAGTATCCTGTGACTCTGTAATGTCAGTAGTAACAGCAGTACTAACCGTGACTTCTGTAAGATCTTCCTGAAGAACACATTCGTCAACAGGCTCACATATCTCCTCATGAGAAATTATGTTATCCTGTATGGCATCGTGTACATCAGGAAGAGAAAATGTCACATATTGTTCGCTCTCGTGATTCTCCATTTCGTTTGCTGCTTATTTACATCCCATCAAATTATATCAGACACATTATGACATTTACGACAATGCTTGAAGAAACCTAGTTTCACCTCAAATTATGTTCTTTAGGTTAAGTTGGATTCAATCACCGCTGAAACGTTATCGCAAATTTTATGTATGCCTCAGGATTTGTACATTATGCGTTCGTAATACTTCTCGACGATTACTATGCACGATTTGCAGCCCATGAATAAAATATATTCTCTTTTTCGTTCTGCACGCTAGGTACTGACACCATTTTGTATAGATATGCAGCTTTAAATATATTTTATAGAACCAAAATATTTGTCCTGATTTAAAGATCAGTATGCCTGCAAAAAATCGTGCAAATAAGTTCTCAAAAAAATTATTGTGTCGTTTTTAGAATTTTTAAGTAATGTGTATATACGTACATATGCAAGCTACGACGTTGCGAGGAGGTTATTTCAGGTTATTTGCTGACTAGTGCCTCATATCGGGTGCAGGCTGAACTAACCAACATTGTGCCGCGTTTCAATAGACGCTTTCGATATTTCAGTCGCAGACTTCACAATATTTGTAATGACACATGTTCAAAGGTTATGTTATATCATGAAGAAGGACAAACATGAGAATCATAAGAATACAAAAGAATGACTAAAAACGTTGATAATAATTGTGCCATTGACACAAAAGTCGTGATATAACACATTTTTCCGACAAAAATTTTTTTTTTTTAAATTGGAAATTTATTGCACTTACAAACTAAAATTTTATTGTGTTATTTGATTATATATATAATATTCTATTATATATAAGATATAATATGAAACGACAAGAAGAAAGTTTAGCAGGTTGGAGTTTTATATGGTGGTTATTTAAATTCTTCGGTCTTCCAATCACCTTCCCTTGGCTAATATATCACTTTTTCGATATTATACAGCTAAAACGAAAAAGAGCAGCTCTTACCAGCAAGGTAACATATATAGCTTGAAATTTTTGTTACATAAAAATATATTATCAAATATAAATATAATAATATATTTAAAATTATCTCTATGGATTTGTATGTGTTATTTGATACAATTCAGGTGGTAATGATAACGGGTGCAAGTTCTGGCTTAGGAGAAGCTTTGGCTCATATATTCTATAGTTGTGGTTGTAGAATTATCTTGGTGGCTCGTAGAAAAGAGGAACTAGAAAGAGTAAAAAATGACTTAATGAGTACTCATCAAGTATGTTATACAATACTTACTTTAGCAGACAAATTTGGCAGACAAATATGCAATATTAATCACTTTATGCTGTTTTTTTTTAGACAGTTCCAACTCATCCACCCATTATTGTGTCGCTAGATTTAACTAATATTAATAATTTAAAAAGATGAAGTAATAAAAGCTATATCAATACATGGCAGAATTGATGTTTTAATAAATAATGCTGGAATATCATATAGAGGAGAAGTTATTAATACAAATGTCGATGTAGACATAAAAGTAATGGTGTTAAATTATTTTTCTCAAATTGCTTTAAGCAAAAGTAAGTATGTCAGTAAAAGAATCTGATGTTGTAATAAATTTGTTATTTATTATTGAAGGAAAAAGCTAAGAACCAAAGTGCAGGTGTTAAGGCATAAAAATATTACAAATCAAGATATAATAATGATACAGAAAAGTTTCAGCCTACTTTTTGGGTCTTTTCTATATCAATTTGTAATAAATTTTTTATATCCCGACACCCATGCTTTAGTTCTTATAACCTTTTTTCTATTGGTTTTTTGTTATTATAGAACCATACATTATACTATTCATTATTTATTTGCAGTTGTTCTTCCATTTATGATGGAACAACAATCTGGCCATATAGTTGGTATAAGCAGTGTTCAAGGAAGAATCGCTATTCCATTTAGGTAAATGTTATGAGTGAATATTTGAATATCTTAAGATAAATTGTATTATGAACATTTGTAAACTTTCAGATCTGCATATGCTGCATCTAAGCATGCATTACAGGCTTGGTATGACACAGCCAGAGCAGAGTTGTCTGATAAAAATATTAAATTTACAATTGTTAATCCAGGATATATTAAAACATCTCTTTCACTTAACGCTTTAACAGGAAATGGACAAATTTATGGATGTTAGTAGTTGAAATATTCATATTATAAATGGTAAATCAATACTTTATTCTTATATATTATTGTATTGTTATTATTTTGTTATAGTAATGGATAAAACAACTGAAAGTGGTTATCAGCCAGAGTACGTAGCTGAATGTATTTTGAAATCTGTATTGAAGCAAGAGAAAGAACTTACAATCGCACCATTTTCTCCAAGATGTGCTATTGTACTTAGAACTTTGTTTCCTTCGCTGTTTTTCTGGATTATGCAAAAACGTGCACAAAAGTTGGCAAAAGATAACTAATTTTATATTGATCGTAAGTTTCTTGCTATTTAATTATAAAAATAAGGTAACTTGATTTCTCGTGGTCACAATGGGTTTATAAATATTTTTTTGTATAAAGTAAAATTCCTATGTATAAAATAAAAGATTCTCATAATATAAAATTATAAAAAATTTAACATAGATTAAATCAATAATTTATATAAATTTAAAGCACTATTAAATTAATTATATTATAAACATATAATTCTAATAACAAGGAATAGCAGTTAAATAAGATACACTATTCAAAAGTATATTTTATATTTTCGTAGCCACTCTCTGACTAGTGGAATATCTTTACATTATGTACACTTTATTACTATGAAACTGTAACCGAAATTGAAAGTGAAATGTTTCGATAACGAGTGTGCTATCCATCTCTTGATACAACTCGCAGAATTCATTCAAATTCTATTATTTTAAACTGATGAAAGATTTTAATGATACATAATGATTTAATATTCTATACATAATTTTCTATTATGACATTCTAATATTAAAACATTATAACGTGAAAGCTATTGAAAATTTGACATACATGAAATATATTTAATAAAAGTATTGTATAATTTTCAAGTAATGGATGGCACATTTATTTATGATACTATTTAAAATGTTATTAAACTTATTTCTTTTATTGTTGACACTGTTAAGTTCTTCTCTATTAAGTGGTATATAAACTTATTTTAAATACAATATTTTAAATGAAAACCTGAAAAAAGAACATGCAACATAAAGCTTGAAACCTATTGTCATGTATTTAGCCATTCCAAGTTGCAAAATTTATATATTGATCACATGTTTATATGGCTTTCTTGTTTCTAGTCCTTATACAATGAAGTAGATTATATATAAAAAAAGTAATAAAAATTTATGTCATATTATAAAATGTAATTAAATGTAATGTTAAACTTAACAGGCGAGTACATATTTTCAGTAAACATTTATATAATATTTTACATAACCTGTCCTGTAGTTGCATTGTACAAAAATAAATTTGATGCTTTTGAAAATAAATTTATATGTTTCAAGTAAAATATCACTGTATTTTTCGCTCTAATAACAATTAGTTTTGTTCTGTGCACTCTCCTTTCTAATAATTTAATCTAATTCATTTAATCTATTTGGAGAAACAAGCCTTCGACAGAAGTATGTTCAATAAATTTCTGCGCTTTTTGTGTATAAAATAGAACTCTGTAGAACAAAATCCAACTGGATTTCCAAATGTCGATTTTACAGCTTTGTCTCTCAGACTTGTGCTATACTCAATACATAACGATGTTAAAGTAGATTGATTATTATTCTAAACCTGATTTATAATCCCTAGAGCAATATTAAGAATTATGTACACTTTTCGCTTCACCTTTTGAGCCCTTATACAATGTACATATAGACGAGAACAATTTCGTTCATGTGACCACAAATTTTACGCGAAGAAAGTTTACATATATAATGTACAGGACTTTAGTTTTTATTATTATTAGACATTTACAGGAATGTTCGCGATATCAACTTCTATTTGACAAAAATGATGCAAACGATAAAGTGTTTTATACGCGCGTTTGTGATAAAATAAGGTATCTTATTCTACATTTATGATTAATAAAATAATCAAAGTCTAAAATTATACTGAGTTTTCGTGGTCAACATATTGTTCTAATATCGTATAACTTCAACATAGATTGTTTTCTGTTGGGTGAGAAAATCTAGGCAACATACCCTTTGACATACCATATGTACTGTATTCTCTGTCTACCTATTTTATTTACAATCTAAAAAATACATAATGCTAAATCCATTGCAAATTTCATAGTTCTAAGAACACTTATGTCAATATTTTTTTTCCTTCATTATAGAGGCTGCATGTATATGGTCTTTGCAATTTCATACAATTATACAGTTATCTTTGACAATTTTGCCAAGGTGGAGTTCAAAGAGTAACGATGTAAAATCTTAAGGAAATCACATGCCAATGTAAAAATTCTGATTCAATGTAAAATCTGCCATTTGTTACTTGTGTTTATGTGGTTTTTTTCAAATCACATAATCAGCATTCACCTACGAGGTAGCATCAAAAAGTATTATAAGTCAATTTCAAAATGATAATACTTTGTGGCATAATGCACCATGACATAAGAATGAATAAGTCTGCATTCTTCTTAATTAAGGAGTTCTGTAGTCCTATTATTATAAAACTTGATGTATCGTGCAGCCTACCTTATTGTTTCGTTCTGATTCAAGTCACATCTGATGCCAGTAATAATTCTTTCACTTGAATGCTTGATACACTCTCCAGGCGGTAATGCTGAACGCTGCCAATGTAATAGTTGTGTGAAGAATTCGTCTCCTTGTATCATCTTTCCTAACAAGAAACGTTGGAGACGATGGACCTAGAACAGCTAATAGCTCTACGTGCGGTAACTTGCTGGTGTCAGTCTCTACTTGATACTGACAACAAGGGTCAAATTGCCAGGAGACTGTATATAATCCACAGGTTATAATAGATGTAAAACCTAATGGACCACAGATATATGGTCGATCACCCCAGATTAGCCCTAAAAAAATATAAAATATTATTCAGCAATAATATAATTTTGTATAAATAGATCCTTATATAGATCAACCAAACCTGTGGCAATCGCAGCAAGACCTGACAATGCAGCAGTTTTGTGAAGACAATTTCCTACTGCTATCCATCTAGAGGTTTCATCACCTAATTTTGATGGTTCGATAACAATTAGACTGCATTCTGATTCTAAAGCTCTCTCTAACTCATATTCAAATGTCTCATGAGCATTTTCACTGTCATACACCTCCCTGATAATGGCAACATTTGAGGACTCATCTCTATAAGAAAACAAATATGCAAGTTATTATTCTTGCAATCTAATATTACATTTGTATCTAATCTCATATTGTGCAACATAATTGTGTATATGCAAAATTTATGTAATTCACAGCAACATGCCAAAAAGTTATTATAGTCTATAGCTACAAAATGTCTTCAATGTAAAGAAGTTGATTAAGGTTAGTTTTATTTTAGATTAAAATCCAGTATGTGTTAAACAGTTGGAATTCAATATTAATGAATGCTTTATGATGAATAACATTGGAAATCGCAATAATTTCAGGAATATCATTCTTTTGTGTGTTATGTAAGACATTGATTATACAGCTAATCAATGCAAGATTTGTTTTGGCCGTGAACATACATTTCACACAAAACCGGCGAGGCTAAAATTAAAATAATGTATTTTCGTGCGGCATTGCGATTTAGCGTTTAATAACAATAATTTGAAGAGATGCGTGTATATGTATATATTAATAGCTTAAGAAAAAACAACGGTGAAAGTGACAAAAACTGATACGAGTCGCTTTAACAAATCAGAATCGCAACAAAAAATATTGCCGTCTCTATCTCGTGAAATCATCTTGCTCGTTGTTTTAAACTTTAAAATTTATTGCTCGTTGAAATATTCAAGAAATGAAAGAGATTTATTGTGAAAAATTAATCACGCTGTACCGCGATGCCGCGATAATTTTGAGGTTAATTCCATTTCAATGGCGATAGAAAACGCGTCGCGGTGACGCGTTATGACATTGTACTTTTCGTTTGAAGGATGTCGATTTTTGTAAATAACGTGAAAATTAATTGGGAGTACAAACCTGTCACCAGCTTCATCTACCATCTTCACCGTCAATCCTACAGATACTGAAACGGCGGTCTGCATGGACCGGAAGAAACAGCATGACTCGTCGAACCGGACGCAAAAATCAGCTGATAGAGCGCCCGCGCGTGCGATTGCTTGCGTGACTCGAGTAGTCTAATAATTTTGATTTTCTATTGGATGCTGTAGTATCCGTTAAAAAGCCGGGAAACCATCTTTTGCGCCTGCGCTATTTCTTTTTCACCGGCTTCCAAAAAAGTAAGCAGATTGTTTTTCACGTTCGTATTAAAATTGTATTGTAACAGCTTTAAACGTGTTAAAATTTATATCCAGATGTCGTATATTTTACTACGTAAAGCACCAACGTTTGTTTTTTACGCAGTTTTGCTTATTGGCCGCTCAAGCGGTTCGCTTTTTTCTTTTGCAAATTAGTTGACCTATTGGCAAACTGATGTTAATTTACAGTAACTGACTTCTACGTTACATGTTCTATTCCTATGTGTTAGACTATTTTAGATCAAGCAATGCAAAAATTATTAATGATTTTGTATAGTGGTAATGTTAAGTATTACATATATATGTTTAGCTTTCTAGTCGTAATTTTCGTAATTTTTATTTTCTAAGATTAATGCGATTTAACCAAACACGACTAAAAAAAGAAATTATGTTATTATAAGATACCCAAAATTAAAATGTTTATGAAATTTGAAGCACATAGGCTCTGCCGTAAAATTTTGATATATATCGACGTTCAGAAAACATAACAATTGAATCCTTGTTTTTTAAATTGATATTATTTGATTAGATTTATAAATGTGTCAATCATAATTTAGTACATTGGATATGTTCTAAAATGCACTGACAGTGTTGAAAATCTATAGTGTACATAGTATGAATTGTCACTATAAATTGTCAGTACTGGCAGTGAATATTGAAATGCGGCCATTATATGTAATTTTAGTGCATGCACTATTTTATTGTGTTTTGTGAACGAACAGAATATCATCGAGCACATTACAGAAGTATCGAATTTGAACGGTCAGAGATATTTCTTGCATAGAATATATATTTGCTTGCATAGAATATATATTTGCTTCTTCTTCGGAAAGATGAAAGAAAGAAACAAGTCATCTTATGGTAAAATAACCATTTTTAGTCACGGTTGTTTAGTCGCATTTTTTATATTTTTTGTATTTAAAATTTAAAATTGGATACACATACATATTTTCGAGAAGAAAGAAAGAAAGAGAAATAAGGTATAGGAAATACAACTAAAAGAATATATTTTTTTATTTACAATAGTAACTGATCTTTTTTGGTATCGCGTGAATATGTGTGCGGGTCATTATTCGCGATAGTTCGAGCGATCCCGTATCATGGCGGCGCGGCGCGATAGGCCGGGACTATATTCGCGATCGCGCGTAGTAACGCGGCGCATAGTGTGTTCCGCGGTCGGTTAGAAGAGTGGAAGAGAGAGGTCGAGAGCGAGCGCTAGCCGTAGCGCGCAGATCGAGTTCCAGATCGCAGATGGACGTCCGCGCGAGCGTATCGTCACGGGCAGCGCGACGCGCCGTGTCGTCGTCGTCGTAAGTGTGCCCGTCGTCGTCGCGTATCGTGTGTCGTGTCTCGTATCGCGTTTCGTCGTCGCGGTCGTCGCGTTTCCCATCCGGGATTACGATTTATTCTGGCGTCGTTCCGCTGGATTTTCTCGCGGTGACATTCAGAGTAAACGAGCGAACGAACAAACATATGAGCAGCGAAGCTATGTGCTGGAATCGCAGTTGTTCGCGTACGGCTTTTTTTTATCGATATAAATTCGTGAAAATTCCACGACAAATCGAAAATACCAGTATTTTTTAATGTTCTGAAGTGCATTGCGAAGTGTGCTCTGACGTTCGCTCCGAAACACTTCCGCCAACTGAATAACCATAGCACTATCGCACGACAAGTGATACGCTCCCGAATTTCCGACGCCAGTAGCAACGACTCCAGTGACGCTTGACAGCAGAAGCGGATTCGGAGTGACGGCGTAAATCCACGTGCTACAGTCGGGAGTGTCGGAGAGGCGAGGTCGTGGCCGCCGCGCCGCGTCGATCGACGGGGGATACGCGTACGGGAGTGCGCAAGTGTGTGAGTAAACTCCTCGAGTGGGGCGAAGCCAGGCGTTTCGGCTGGATTGCACTGACAGTCGACGGGAGTGTGTTGTACGCGCGGGTGGTGTTGTACGCGTTGCGCTGCGCTCGCTCGCTGGCGAATGTCGTGTGTCGCGATCGCGTAAATAAATACACCACGCAGCGCGACGCAACGTAACGCAACGTTAACGCGACTTTGTCGCGTCCGACGAGAGATTAAGCGAGATTTCGCGTGCTCGCTCGCGGTGACACTCTCGACATCGGTCGAGATCGATGAACCCGGAACGTTGCCTCCGGTCGTTGTTTTCGCGAGTGAAAAATTTCAAGTGAAACACGAAGATTCGAACGGAGATGAGAACGCGGTGACTGTTGAAATCGCTGTTTCTCCTGACTATAATTCGCGAGTGTGCGAACAAGTGCGGGTGTTCCGGAGGGCGGCGAATTCCGCTTTCCGTCGCAAGCGAAGAGCGGTCTCGGAGCCAAATTCCGAAATCCACAGTGGTGGTGACATTTCCGTCGTCGCGCGATTCCCGTCGCTGAACAGCTGGCGGTGGAATCCTGCGGAAGATTGCCGGCGCGATCGACGTCAACGACCGGCGTACCGCGATCCCATAAAGGAGAGCGAGAAGAGAGATTGAGAGGGAGAAAAGTACGTGCGTATCAACGCGAGATTCCCGAGATTCGCCGACGTTCCGTATCGACCTGCGTAAAGTGTTCGCGTCCGAAGGACTTGAGTGATCGAAGGCGACACTCATGTGAATAAACACTTTGCGGAAGAAGAAGTAGCGATCTCCCCCGAGACCTCACGCACATTTCGCTGGGAGGAATCGGAATCCACGGATCCGCCGTGATACCGGAAGCCAAGGCGGATCGGAGGGTGAAAAAGGAAGGAAGGACGAAGGCGATGCTGCGCCTCGGCTGCGATCGCGGTTAATTCGCACGTGTCGTCGCGGATATGTCGGGTGGCACGGCGGGCGGTGGCGGCGGCATCCGCGGCACCGGCGCCGAGTGCAGGAAGTTCGCGCCGAACATATTCAACAAGAGCAAGTGCAGCAGCTGCTTCAAGCAGAAGGAGGAGCACAGCGCGGAGGCCCTGGAATGCAACAGGGTGAGTTTTGCTTGATGGACTTCTTCTATCTTCGTTCGCCGACGCCGATCCTCTCGCTCGCTCTTTTCGGGCTCCTCCTCTTGTGCTACCGCACTCTTGCTTTCTCTCTCTTCCTTATCTTTTTTCTCCCCTTCGCTTACATAAGTACATATATATGTATCGTTATATTTATTGCGTATTAGAACGGAGCGAGAGGTTCGTCGTACTTGGCGGGCAAAATTGAAAATGAAATTGCGCAGTTTCCGAGAAGGAATATTTATGAATCAAAATAATTATTATTGATTTTAATATGCTTTTTGCACATTTTGAAATATGTTTTTAAATTTTCTTACGAAAATTCTCCGGTTTCTAAACTTGTAAATTTATTTAAAACAGAAATTAAAAAAAAAAATTTATAGTTGATTATAATAAGTTAGATAGGGATTTATTTATACTTTTTATTTACGGCGTAACGACACGTGGTACGGTGTAGGTTTCAAGTTTTTTTCTCTTATAATTTTTGATGAATTTATCTCGTGACATTATAATTAATTTTGTATGCTGATACAATAAGTATAGATCTCAAATGAATTCAAAACTTTATCGCTTTATATATTTTATATTTTACTGTATATATTGTTTTATATATATACATATTTGCCCTGCTATGCACATGCTCTTCGGCTTTTAAAGATAAGAGAATTTGGCCTAGGTAATAAATATTTCTCTCGTTTTGTCTCTTTCGATGCGCTCTCTTTATATCGTTCTCTTTCTTCTCTGGTTCTCTCGCCCGACTTGATTCTCGTCCTTCTCGCTCATTCTCGAATTCCTTCCTGAGATCAGGGACGAGCGGTGAGAAGGAGTGGAGGTCCCGCTGCTGTCAGAAAGCCGACGTTATATAAGATCCGCTGCGGCCGTTGTTTACAAATCGCTTCGTGAACGCGGCAACCTGCGCCGATTTGCGTGCAACGAATGTTTCGTTTGTCCTTCAAACTGACGTGTCCTGTCTTCCGGCCCGGTTACATAGCCGCAGTCGCGATTCAATAACTTTACATAGCTATCGCTCCATATATTTCCAGGTTGATATACGTAGCGTAAAATTTATTAAATCGATGTTGATACATTCGTGAACATTGTTATGGAATGAATAATATTTTTGCAAGTCGTTTGTAAATTATTACATATTAGTGCTAGCGATTTATTTCAGACGAAATAACACGTTCGCGAGACAACGCGAACTCGCATAAGTTTGCATATAGGATGAATATTACTACTCAACGGATTATGTTCAGAGTCATGCTGCTGCGCAGTTGCTCGCCACATGGTACGTTTTTTTCTCCTTTTCGCAGCAATTTGACGCCTAGGCCGCTTTCGATCTCGCGTTGCTTTGTAAGCGCGCGTTTTTTTACAACGGATAATCGTACGCGTATAACGAGCAACAATTACGCGGCAATTTAAAGATCTCAAGCGAGCCTATTATAAAATCTGGCGCGTTAAAAGGAATTGCTTGGGAGTAAAAGAAAATTTCGGAGCAGTCTTGCCGTAATATCATTATATACGAATTTAATACATATATAAAAAGTTGATTTCTTCAACCGTTATTTTATACAGTACATACAAAACTGGTACTGAATTCAACATAATTTCAGAGTTCAATCAGTAATGCTATAAAAATTGAGTGCTTACGTCACTTGTCGCACATTATTATCATCATTATTATATCTACCAATAAATATAAAAGTCACTTTCGTGTATTTATCGGAAATATGAACTCACCGAAATAATATAACAATAGCTTTAAATCGTTCTGTGAGAAATATTTATTGGATAAAGAATAAATTAGAATCATAAAAATTAAATAAATGTAAATTAAAAATATGCAATATGCAATATGTCGCGTAAAGGAGCTCTTGTTATCGATTAAATATTACATTTGAACGAAAATATATTACACACTTTATAAAAGCCTAAATATTTGATTTAGTGGTAGGATAAAATAACAATGCTTGAAAGATAGTTCTCTTTTCTTTCTTTAATTTGAGAGACGTGTGAGATATCGTCGCGTCATAATTGAGGTTATAAATACAGCTTCCGGTGTGCGTGTTTAGCAAAGCATCAAAACGAAAAAAAGGAATCTTTATAGTTCTGCTTTTTTTGTCTCATATGATTTTTATTTACGTTAGAGTCTTTGTCGATGAATAAACGAGCTCGTAAAAATCAAAGACCGGGAGGAAAAGAGAAAGAATCGAAAACATAATAAGAATGTTAAAAAGCTATTTGTGCTACCGCGAGTGTACGGTACCGGAGGAAAAACGCGATACGTAATCATTGTCACTTCGTTAAATGTGTACTTTTTCTGCACGCAAAACCGTATTTTTATACTTTCGTGTCGCCACTTTACCGTTCACTTTAATGCTACATTAATTGTTCAACTTAATTATGCTGTCTTTTAACTAAAGTTACGGTAATACGGCAGATCATCATTTGTACAAATTGTGTTTTTCAATATATTTGTATCATATATTTAGGTAAGAGCGAGCTTCATATACTTTCTTTCGTAAAGTTTATTTTTGAAATTAATATCCGTAAACATCTGTAGAAATACACAAATACACAGCATGCTTGGAAATTTAATATAAATTTAATGAAAGAATTATAAAACGAACAAATTTTTAAATCTTTTTCCGTGTATCGATACTCTAATCTTTTTTCGTCTTTATGGCATGGCAAATTTCGGTTTTATGATTAAATTGAACAGGTATTTTTTGTACTTGTTTCATTTTTAATTTGGATCAACATTTTATACGTATATTTTGAGATAAAATAAAATGACAGAGAAAAAAAAATCTCGAAAGGTTTTTCCACATGTATTCATTAATATAATATTATTCTGTATTCGTATTTAATTGTCAATTTTGAGATATTGTCAGTTTTAATATATTGCACGACAGAACTGACAATTTAATAAGAATTATTATATTCTTATTTCAACGAAACATTATTTGCATATTTCTAATTAAGATCGGAGTATCAACGCGTGTTGGTTCCGAAATTTTGTTCGCGCAGCGTTCGGGCGATACGCGACTGCTTTGCGTGGTCCTCGCGCCGTTGCAAATTTCGGAATGTCGGCAGTCTTGCGACCTGTTCTCGGTGCATTCCAGCCATCTCTTCCTCCAGCACCCCTACGAGAGAGAAGAGAGGCCCCCTCCGAGAATTGTTGGCCTGTCGGCTTTCGCATGGATGCGGTATCTCTGTATCGGTTTATTCTCTCCGTCTCGCTTTTCCCTGCCGCGTCGGCCGTCTCTCTTTGTCTCTCCTGCAGATAACGTATGCATACGCGACGCAATGTTTCCTTGCCCGTTGGCCGTCGTATCCTCCTCCTGCAAAGAGTTCAACGTTTCGATAATCGCGATAAAAAATAAATGCAAAAAATCGACGCTAATTTGCAAATCGATATTATTGCCTCTGAATACATTACGCCCTATTTTCCAACATGAGTGCAAAAGTACAATACTATTATATTTCGTTGCTGGAAACTAACGGACACGTAGATCGTGAGATTTTATATCTCAGTGGAATAAAAAGTAGGAAAAGATTGGATTTACATTTGTCTTTCAAAACAGATATTTCCAGACCCATGTATCTCATTCGTGTATCACGAGATCTAATTTCAGCGAGCAACGCGAGAATGTACAATCGTACTGTATGATAGAAAATACGATTAACAAAAGAAATTGGTCTTATTACACGCGTACGTACGTTCTTGTTCTTGACTAAAGAGACCCTTGGGCCATGCTCGCTCGTGACCGGCCATTATCGGCGTACAGCTTGGTATTTTCAGAGTCCGATTACTTCTTCGTGAGCGCCTTCGTAAGTGCCTTCGAGAAATAATTTCCTAGGGTGAGAAGGCCCGAGACGCGCGGTTGGGACGTACCTTAAATTTTGATCCGGCGAAACGATTCCGCAAGACGTCTTACGGTACCTCGGGCTTCCATCCGGCTTTCGCGAATATCTTCTTTTCCTATCAATTTGCTCGTCCTCTTCAACACAAAATTCATTTTCTCCGTACATCTTCTTTAAATCTTAATAACTTGAAATTTTAGATTATAAAAGTTTTTTTGTGATATAATTCCTAAATTCATTATAACAAGTTTTTATTTACTTAGAAGACTCCAATTAGAAGATTTTGCTGAGTTATTAAGCTTGATGAACCTTTTAATTTTTGTACATTTCATACGTGCAATATATCATAACATTAAGTATGCTTAGAAAGACTTAAAAATAATTAATTTTTATTAGCGTTGTCATTACGTTGATTTGGGTTAATTGCCGTTGTCTTACGTGATCTTTAAAATTTGTGCCTGGAAAATTGTGTATTTATATAACACGCGCAGCAACCTTGTTTCTCAATTTAGTGATGTTGACGTTCGTGACTTGTGACCGATGCTCGCATACGATATCTACCTACGTGCGATTAATTAACAGCAGTTACGATCGAGGGAAAATTCTGGATTCTCCGATTCGACTGATGGCAATTAACGTGCGCGTTGTTACACAATCGATGTCGGCATGTCGACAATTTTTTCGTTCGTCTCTTTATCCGCTTCGTCTCGTTGATGAGATCTCACCGAGAAGCGGCCGCGCAAACAATCTATCGCTACTCGCCCGAGGAATCGAGACTCCGCTGCGTTAATAGCTCAGAATGGAATTTCACCTTCTAATGAAATCGGACGGCCGGTTGCTCTTAGCGATTAGCGTGCGGAGATAATTCCTACGCCGGAGACACGTGAAATGGAAAAACCATTAATTACTGTCGATCGAGTCACGAGCATTATTGCTGCGCACACATGTTTATGTGTATTTTTTTCCATGTTGCGCAGCTATTGCGTATCGTGAAAGGGATTGTATTGCGTTAAAAGTAGTACTCGGAATATATAAACTTTATAAAATACTTAATTAATAAGAATCTAATTCTTATAGAAATACTAGAGAAATAATTATAAATCTTAAACACGTAAAAA